ATCAAACTCAGACAGAACAGATGTGATCTATGCCATAAATGCCGCATAAGGGAGGGCCAGCGCAGTCTGTTCAGTGTGAAACACGAGGATCAACTTATCTAGTCAGATGGTAAACTTTCCAAGCCACGACTTTAAATGCATTCTGATAGCTCTAACTAGCAGATTTATTATAATAAGTAATTCATATTGACCCAACTGTGAAAAATTCGGCGTCTCGGTGGAATTAGAACCCACGCAGTAAGGGGAAGGTTTTAGTACAGCCAACGCTCTAACCATTTGAGCTACGAGGCCCCGCCGGACGACGCGAGTTTAATAAGGAATGTTTCGAGTTGTGACTAGGCATGATTGGGAGGGGGACTAAGTGACTGATATGGTACAAGTCCCCGTCTAATGTGTACCATATTCACATGAAACCGTGGTTAGGGACTTCAGTAGACACAGCGCAGACCAATTAGCACGCCTGAGATATTTCGGCCAGTGTTTTGACCTAGCACAATATCAGTGCAGCACATTTTGGAGTTTGACCAGCATCTAAGATCAGCAACACAAGCATGCGTACTTGCAGCACGCAGCCGGTCCCTAGGTGAAGTCTAACCGATGGGCTAGCCACACCATAATATCCAAATTCATCTCTTTCTCGAAATCTTACGGGTTCTGTCAGAGTGGGCAGACATCTGTCCACACAGTTATGTGCGAACAAAGTCCCATGTCACTGCCGAGGGCGAGTAAGTTCCGACTAGGTTAATGGGAGTCACAAACACGCGTTCGCCCCGTTGGAAGCTGGATGCTCTTGGAAACTAGGCAGATCGATGTTGGCCTATCGCTATGTGAGTTTATATAGCATATCGTAATGCCACCAGTGCTTTATATTGAAACGCTTTTTCTTATGATGGTGTTAATGCAGCCTAACGTCCATTTTCAAGGAAACGACGAAATCACTTTCGTTTTTCGCATCAAACAGACCCTTCGCTGAACAACGGCATCAACTTGAGATACCATGCCCGCGAGGGAAGCGAACGTCTAGTCACACCGTACCCAGAAGTATCGCGTGTACATGCGAGTTGGCAGCATGAAAGCACGAGAGGGTTTCCATCACAGGTCTTTCGTTTAATTATTCCCTGTGTTATACTTTCCAATCTTCCCTTCCCTCACTGCAAAATTCCAGCTACACACCCCACACACGTATTCTGGCATGCTTGGGCGTGGCGGGCGCTTAAGTGGCGGTTGGTTGTGGGCATGAGCGTCAGATGTTAGTCTTCTGAAACTCTCCAGGTAACTGCGGTGTGTCCCATTTGCTTCGTCCATCTACAGCTAATTTTTTTAAACGGACAGCTTTCATAGGGCGTGGTCTGCTGCAGCAAACGCAACGTCCTACTTTTCATTATCGGAGGAGGATTATCCACGAACGTCCTACCTCAAAAATTGAATTAGCATCACGGTGGGGAAGAGCGTTGAAGTTAGTAAATGTCTAATAAACAGAGTGAGAGT